ACCTGTCTGCCTGCCTATCTCTTTATCTTTTTCTATCGATCTCTCTATATCTATCTATCTATCTATCTATCTATCTATCTATCTATCTATCTATCTATCTATCTATCTATCAATCATCTGTATATCCTATGTAAAATAAAGTTCGACATACATATGAGACCCTGGGTGAAGTTGTCTATACACCCACTGTTAGCATCTTCAGTTAGACCTCTGTGGGGCTGGCTGGTAAGTCAGAATGAAGCCTGTTGGGTCTACTTCTCATAGCCTCTGGGGCTATGTGCCTCTACTCATGGTGACAGCGGCAACTGCTACCATCTCTGCCTTGGCCAGGTGCAGTAGGTGATTCTTGTAGGCAGCAGCACAGATTCCTGGTTGTTTCAGTCTATGTGTTTGCTTGTGGTTGGCACAGTATTTAATGCATATAGGCAGAATTGTTAAAGGATCTTTAAATATGTGAACATAAATACAGCACTGATTTTAAACTTTAACAAACTGGTATGATACTTTTCAAATGTCTAGACACACTGGTAAATTTTTGTTACAGATTGTTGTCAAATTTTCCGTTAGTCTTATTTCTGTGAGGTACTCTTAGTGTGACTTAAAATTTCTTAGAAATTAAAGTTCTGCAAAAATTTATTTTATAATACTTGGTTTATAAGTTCGCACATAAACAATGTTTAGTTTATGTTTATTTCTTCAATTTCATCATGATGAATACTCAAGAGTATTGACAGGCTGCTTCTGGTTCAGTGTTGGAGCATAGTGATTATCCCAGTGGATATTAGAGGAAGAGATAGATGTTTTCATTTGTGGATTTATGGTAAATTTCTTTGCAACCCAAAAGTAACATTAATAGTTGAAAACATCATTTTACATTATTTAATGATTCAAGCTCATTAGACTCGTTTTTGATTTCTTCCATAGAGGAACTGAACTTCATCCAGAGTTCTGCAGAATGTAAGTGCTCATTTTTCTGGCAGTGTGTATAGCCTGTGAATACCAATGGCTTCACACTACAGTCCACAATAAGAAATAAATGTCCTCTGTAACTGAGTTTACATACACACCAAAACACATAGAAAAATTTAACAAAACGGTGATTTTTTTTTATGATCCATGCTGGCATTTTCTAGTGTTTATTATAATTTTTTTTTTAAAATACCAGACACAAACTATTTCCTAACCTATTAGTATGAAATGGGAGGTAAATTTCCATTTGAAAAACAACTAGAATCTTGTTTGAAATAACTAATACACTTTTTGTTGTTACTGTTGGCTTGAATATTTGGGTAAATTTGTTGGCTCTGAGGTTTTCTGAATGCTGTCTTTTTCCTCTCAAAAGCTGTTGTGAAAAGTTGTGCTGCAAACATGACACCTTGGCACCAAGGACTTGAGTTCCTACAGCAATTTGTGTGTGTGTGTGTGTGTGTGTGTGTGTGTGTGTGTGTGTGTGTGTGTGTGTATGTTGGGCCATCTGTGATTATATAGGGACTGAACAGTATACCCAGAAATTGAAAGGACATGGGCCATTTGTTGAGACCTCTACTTGTGCAGAGTCTGGCCTTTCCTCTCTTACAGCCCTTCATTGGCTCAGGCTATAGGGTGGGTCACTTGTTATTTGTTGTTGTGAACTCACACCAGAGACTGTGAAGTGGCACTGGTGTGCAGGAGCATGAGGACAGGAAGTGGGTGTTCCTTCCCAACACATGGGTGTCTTTGAGCCCTGTCAAATAGGAAATGCACACCTCTATTTCATGGCTTTGGAATACAGCCAAGAAAACTAAAGGTGCATGGGGTTGCCCCATTCTTGAGTGAGTGAAGTAGGTCAGTCCGGGCCAGCCTGATTCCAGTGACTCCCATTGGCTTGTTCCGAGTTCTCAGTCAGCAGACAAATCTTGGAGGTATCACTCTTTCTATGTTTTGATGGGGCTTGAGAGTGTGAGCAGCCACCCTAGCTTGCCTGCCTGTGCACCTTGTACATAGTGAACCTCCTTCTCTGATCTTTACATGCAGCCAACACTTAATGCAGATCAATATGCAGATGTCTAAGATGATATGGATGCCACTTGTAAGAACTTAGAGCTTGGAAATAACAATAAGAGTTCTGCACTTGTCACACATTGCCTGAAGCACTTGCTTACTTTTTCTCTCCACTCAAACCTGTAATTTTATTTAGGACTCAGGAAGCCTGAAGTAGGTCTTGGCTACACTGCAGAGGAGGAAACTCAGCAGCTACAGCCTGAAAAGTTGGTACCAGCCTTGGCCCTAGAGTTCCCAGGGCCAGACACTGAGCCTGTGTAAGAACTGAAGGTACTAAAAAAAAAAAAAAAATCTATAACCCATTTCCAAATCATCACCTCTGTCCTGAGTGGTAAGGATAGCTAATAGAGGACCATGTTACATTGCAGTTTTATAATGATGTGGCTGTCTCCTGTGCTTTGAAAGGAAAAGGAGTCCTACAAAGCTTAATAATGTTCTCCAAATGTGTCTTGGACTCCACCCTAGCTTGTTATAGGTTTCTAGAGCTCTCACTGCTCTGTGAGGTCCTGGCAAAAACCTCAGAAAACCTTTTGTTGGCTCATATGGACACTTCTGGACCAAAATGGCCCGAGAACGTGCTTCTTTGGCAGTGTCTTATTCAGTTCATGAGTTAGTGAGGAGAGTGCCTAGGGATAAGTTAGGTCCTATGAAGCAGCAACCATACAAATTCGTAAGTGTGGAAGAATTCATGTCTGTCCACCATGTGGGGAGAAAGGAAGACTTTATAATTGCTTGCAGCCTGGAGCATGCCAGTGTCCTAAGTATGAGTAAAGTAAAAATGGGAGGGGGCAGTGAGAAGAAGGCTTTGCAAGAATGAGACATCTGCTAAGCTAAGGGAGAGATCAGTTCATTACAATAAAGACTACTCTGAGGAAGAAGTCACATTGAGAGTTAGGCACATTGAACTCTGTGGCCTCTGAACCTTCTTACTGGCATGAGGTGTCCCAATCAGTGCACTAATTTCCATGTGACAGCCGACGAAATACATGATGGAATGGTAAAAGTTTGCACATAAGAAATTTACCTGAGTTGTCACTGACTATTGCAAGATGCCCAAGCCCTTACCTTCAACACTAGAATTTTCACTGCCTTCAGAACCCCAATGAAGTTAATGCCGGATGTTTACTTCAACCCAAGGACCTGTTACCAACAGTTGGCATCTGTTCCTGTGTCAGTAGAAATGGACTCTGCCACTTCAGCAGAAGAGCATACTGTGGACATTCACAGGTTCCAGGGACAGCAGTTCCATTTCAGCTTGTGCATGGCCTCCCTCCAAGGACAGAGCAGTCAGACCTGCAGCTGAGTTTTCTGAATGGAAAAGTGGATCTCTGAGATGTAGCTTCTCTCTGTCACTTGTTTAAAGTGTTCTCCAAATGTGTCTTCAAATGTAATAGTATGTCTAATCATTAAGAACATTTTGAGCATAGCCTAACATATACATGTTAATTTATAAATTATTTATCTATATTTTATAAATCAAAAAGAACCATTTAAAAAGGATAAATATATAAATATGGATTTTAAACACTTCTCACATTGTGTAGGGGACAGTTCTGAACCCTGGCATGTACCTTGGCTTGCTACCTGCTTCTCCGCTGCGTTCCCATCCAGGCTTGGTGAAGACTCTCTAGCTAGCTTGAGCATGGCAAATATGGCTCTGGCAGGCCTTGCCCTTCTCCATTCCCTCTGCCTTGCTAAAAACCATTAGATTGAATTCCTAAAGCTAGCCACCAAGGTGTATTCTTTTATTTGGCCACTTCCTCCTCCTGAGGCTGACTACCAAGGTCCAGCTACCAAAGTATTGAAGTCCAGCAATCAAAACCCCCCTTTGGTTCACCTAATTGACATGCCCAATTAAAATTAAACACCTCATCCTAACATGGGGTTCCCCTTTTATGTTCATAAACTGCCATTTGCCTATGGGCCATGTCTGTCTCCTCTCTATCCCCTCTTCCTTGTTCCCTTCCCCTTCTCCCCATCCTCTATTCCCTGGCTTTGTCTCTTAGCCCCTGCCCTCTGTCCCTCTGGGGTAGGTAAATATCCTTTGTGCTGAGAACTTGGTCTTGGGGTCTTGAGCCAGTTCTGGTCTTTTCACTGGATACTGTCTCATATGGACACTGCCTCCCAGCACAGTCATCAACATGGTCTTCCCCCAAAGAGAACAGATTTCCTGGTGGAGGCTGAGGCAAAGGACACTTAAACCCCTGAGATAGAAAGAGCCAAGGAGCTTGAAGGGTCTGTAGGATAGACACCCCAGCGTTGATTACCACACTGCTAGTACTGTTGGGTGGGTCTTTTTCTGTTCCAGTGGCCAGAGGCCACCTGAGCAGAGCTGCTCATTGACTACTATGTTACACTAATCTTAGCACCATTCTCTGTCTCCAACCTGGGGTTTAAAGTGTTAAAAAAATCACTATATCTGTGCTGACACCACACACATTTTTTTTTTCTTTTTCCTGTCCTTAGTCCCTAAGTAAAACAGTGCAGCAACTGTTCACAGGGCACTTACACTATTAGGCATTATAATTTAGGGGTGACTTCAAAGTATGTGGAGAGATGTATGCTGATTACAAGGGAATACTGCACCATTTCATATCAGGGAGAGCATTTGTGGGGTCTGGCATTGGAGCAACTGGCACCAGTTCTGTGGGCTCCAGGGATTTTCAGTTGTCCATCTTATATATGACCACAGGATTCTGTACCATAGTCATTAACATTTGGTTTACCTTGTTTAGATGTTGAGTACCACAATTTTTTTTTCAGTTTACATGTTAGAAGTACTTCACTGTACTACTAACCTATTACATAAAAACAAAGGAAAGATTCTTAAGCATTGGATAAGTGTGTCAGTTTCCTGGATGTTGGTCAGACACTAGCAATATTTTAAGGAACACTATTCCTCATTTATTTCAAGTGACTAAACTCACAAATGCACAAACTGCTTTTTATGTAATAAAGACTAGTTAGGTAGGTTCTTTTATTTCCTCTATATAATCCAAAGAACAGACAGCAGTGTAGTACTCAATCCAAAATTCACACAACTCATAAACAAGGTAGGCTTTTTACCCCCTTTCTTGTTCTAGTCTTAACTTCATGAACATGAACTCAGCATTCAAGAATTTTCTTTTGGTAGCAGGATCGGCAGAGAGGACAGGCATGGAAAGGGGCATTGTCTCCCAAGGAAAACTCCTCCAAGGCCAGGAGGCAGGCATGGTGGAACAGGTGTGCACAGGACAGGAGGACTGTCTCACGGGGCCGCTGGCCACTGCTTCCTACAGCTGCTTGCTGGCAGTCACCATGGAGGGAGAGTGGGGTCAGGCAGATGGAACACTCGTAGATCTCCTGGTGGGCAGCCTGCAGCACAAAGCAGATATGGATTTGTCATAGGAGTGACTGCCACAGTTACTCAGACCTACAGTGAGAACTGTATCTCAAAACATGGGTCCTCTGAAAATGGGCAGTATATTGAAAATCTTAAATGTCGAAGATGTGAGGTGTAGAGATTATAATAAGCATTTTAAAACAAAAATAAAAATGGTGAGCATTAATAATATATATAGTGCCTTTTAATTAAAAATGGAAAAACATTTGGCTGATACTGTTAAAATTTTAAAACATTCTCAATTTTATGTTTTAAGTTTTCCCTCCCTTTGGCTTTGAGTCACTGCAGAACCCTGTTTACCTCCCTTAGGCTACTACATATGGAGGAGGAGGGCAGGAAGCATAGGCTTGCCCTTCCGAGTTTTCATTGTTCATAATACCCACTATTGAACTAGAACTTTAACGTTTCAAAATGAAGGACCCTGATGGTCACTGAGCTCATGACAAAGGCCTGGGTGTCCCCATCCAAGGCAGCCCTCACGAAGGCCCCCACCCTTTACAGACCTGTGATTGCAGTCCATTCTGCAGAGGCAGCAAGGAAGCTGGGCTGAAGCCTACCTGCACTTGGATTTTCTCCCAGTCCTCCTCAGAGATCTCATGGCCACACCTTTCATCTAGCTGCTGGAGGATGCTGCGATTTACAGCCAAGCAGAGGTCGATTTCTGAGAAGAGTTCATCTATGTTGGTGTTGTATGAGCACAGGATTCGCTGGCTGATTTCTGTGAACTGAGAACAGAGGCCGAGGCTGGAGCATCTGAATGGCAGGGCAGAGTCATTCCTGGAGGAGGAACTCGGCAGGTTCCCTTCTCTCCAGAAGCCGTCATGACGCCCTGCTGTGATGTAGCAGGAGGGCCCTCATCTCAGGACAGGGGTCCTGAGAGAAACCCAGAAGAGACCAGGCCAGGCTGCCTGTCTCACTGTCCTCAGCTGTCTCCTTTTTGGGACTTTCCATTCTCCATCAGAGCCCAGTTCACTGCTGCTTAGCTGCTGACTCAGGTCTTTATTTCTGTAAGAAGGTGCCCATGCCACAGGAGACTTTATTAAATACGTGTTTGCACTTTTCTCTTGCTAATCTGTCTCTTGTTGGTCTAATTCACAGAATTCCAGCTCAACGATTAAGGGAAGTGTAAAAAGGAAAAGACACTTTTTTTTCTCTGCAGCAATTAGCAAGGCATGTATCTGGGACTAAAGCTGACAGGAGGGAGGAATTAGAAACTTACAGAGGACTCACACAGCACAGTATATAACTTCTTGGCACTGCTGCCAGGCATGTGGGGACTGGAGCTAGCTCTTTGCTTTGCCCATCAGCCTGAGAAGCTGTGGCTCCAAATTATAGGTGATCTTAGTATAAAGCAGAAAAGAGGAAATCCAAGCAAAGGAGGGTTGTCTTTTTACTTTTTTGTTCATTAAGCTCTAAGGTCACAATTTGAAACACTCCTTGCCTAATGAGTTTAAAAATCTTCTCCAAGCACAGATAATCAGTTCATGGATAACTAAGATGCCCCACCACAGAACAGATCCCTTGGGACTTAGGTTCAATTCTACACTGGTAGTGTCAGTGCGGAGGCAGCATATGCATGGCATTTGAAGTACTAACCTTAAATAAGTCTCTAGTGTTCCTCTAAACCCAGTTCTTCTATAAAGTTTACACACACACACACACACACACACACACACACACACACAATTATAAAAACATACAAAAACGGGTTTAGGAAAACAACTGGTCTTAGGACAAATGACTTGGGCATAAGAAGCTGGCTGGCTGTGGCAGGACATGCAGTCATCTCATAATGGCATGAACAGGAGCTGCTGGATCCACAGGACTCCAACATTCCAGCACACACTAGAGTGAACTACTGTACACACACTTAGGAAGGTCGGGCATTCCTGGGCAAGTTCCCCACTACCTTTACCTACTGCCATTAAATAGACCTCAGTCTGTCTGCTTGCTTCCTGACTCATCTGGATATGTCTGCTATGATTATTTAACCTCTGTGGAGTTGTACCCTTCACAGTGACAAAGGCTTGACACTGTGCCTGCCCTTTCCAAAGACGCTGTCACACCCTATTTGAAAAGAGCAAAGTTATGAGTACTATATTACTTACTGGAAATATGCCTTAAACTTTAGTGGGGTTTGTATTAAGATAGTAAGGAGGCATGGTGGTGCACACCTATAATCCCAGCATTCAGAAGACTTGGAGTGAGGGATCAAAAGTTTGAAGCTAGCCTGAGCTACATGAGACCCTGTCTCAAAATGATTTTGTTGTTTTTGTTGTTAGTGTTTTGCTTACAAAGTTGTATAGTGGTCTGCGCCAACTCATTTTTTTCTGTAGGTTTTCATGACTTGTTTTTCTTAATTAGAACATGTATTAAAAATGTAAATTATTGTTCCTGTGCTTAAATGTCATTGTAATTGTGGTCTGATTTACTTAAAACATTGTAATTGTAGGAAATTCTTCACAATTACCTTCTAGACAGAAGTTCAAATGTATATAAATGACTAATAGGATGGTACCACTTCATACAGCATTTCATTATAATTATTAAGTTTAGAAAATGAAATTTCACAGTATTTACTTTTATACCAGTATTCATGAAAGCTGGGCATGACAGGCACAAGAACATACTGAGTTTATTTCACAGATACTTTTATAATTCACTAGATCAGATAGCCTAGCTCTGTTTGTTCTTAACAAGTGGAATATATATGTCTTTTCAAGCATTGTTGCCTTCCTTGGCCCATCCTTTCCAGATAGGAAGAGAAACTCTGACCAGGTTCTTTAGACCAGGCACTCACATGTGACACCCAATCTTCATATGCTGCCCAGGTTAAGATGAGGGATTCCCACTAGGATGTTCCATAGAGAGGAGATCACGTTTTCACTCTGGGTGTCCAGTTTAGGTGTGAGGCCCTAGATCCTGGACACCATGGCTTTGCATCACCAGCTTCTAGCACTGTGCTCTGCTTTAGTTCCAGTTTGAGTTTTTAGGGACAGATGTGTGTACACACACACACACACACACACACATATATATACATATACATATATATGTACATATTATACTGGCATACACACACACATATATATATACATATATATGTACATATTATACTGGCATACACACACATATATACACATATATGTACATATTATACTGGCATACACACACATATATAT